ATCCCTGGACGAATCAGATAGGCTGGTCAACAACCGTAGACACGGACCATGCTCTGCTACGTGCGAGATACTCTCTACGCCTAGTAAACAAATGCAGAAAAGCCACCGAAATTGGATGCCCAAGATACAATGTCAGCAATAGTTGCAAATCGGCCTTCGAACCGGGACTATCAGATCGTCTCTCAGCACAACCATCAACCGAAGGACTCAGTGATCGCTGGACGGCAATGAAGGAAGCGATTCAAATGCCAATCAAAACAACAGCAAATTCTGACTCACGATCAAATAAAAAACGATGGATGTCCTCAATCTCGGTCGCCCTGATGGACGCTCGCAGAGCCATTCCTTCAGATTCAAACTATGACAAAGGGCGCAAATCCCTTAAACGTCCGCTCATCAAGAGTCTGATGAATGACCGCTAGAAGTGGTGGGTAAGAAAGTGTAGAGAGATGGAGAAGACTGCGGCTATTGGTAATAGTCGCAATCTTTTCCAATTGATTTGGAGTACTAGTCCAAGGAAAGCAGGCGTAAGTTAGGTAATTAAGGAATCCGACGACACACTGATCCATACTCAGCAACGCAGTTTAGATCGATGGGCAGAACATCCTAAGGCTCAGTTCAGCTGGCCCTCGTCAGCACAAGACCTCCCTACACCCGATTCAACTGCGCAACTACTGCCAGTTGATATCAGTCCTCCATCTGAACTAGAGGTTACCCGAGAAATAAGCTATCTCAAAAGGTATTAAGCTTCCGGCCCCGACGGGCTGTCCCCATGGGCTTTTAAGGATGGAGTTTTAGTCTTGGTTTTGGAGTTAACAAAACTCCTGGGTTCAGTGTGGGAAAAAGAACAGGTTCCAACTGAATGGTGTGAATTCGTGATCATACCGATTTACAAGAAGGGCGAAGGTCCTCTTGTAAAAAAACAGAGGAATTAGTTTAGTTACCGTTGCCTCTAAACTTCTCGCCGGTATCATACTCCGTCAATTGTCTGCAGCTCGTGAAGAGTGCACACGTGAGAACCAGGCTGGTTTTAGACCTGGTCGAGGTTGCATCGACCATATCTTTACTGTTCTTCAAATCCTAAAAAACAGACACTTTTCGTAATCCCACCTTTTCCATCTTCTTCGTCCTGAAAGCGGCTTCCGACTCAGTCGACCGCTCTAAACTCTGGCGCTGCCTTTCCCCGAAAGGTGTGTCCGAGAAGTTTATTTGAATATTAGAATGCCTCTACAATAATAGCCGAAGCTGAGTTCAAGCCCTCGGCACTGTTTCACCCGAGTTCACCACGGAAAGTGGCATTCGACAGGGTTGCCCTATCCTCGTGCAACGATAGTGGTATCGATTTACTTCCGGGTGGCAGACTGTGATCCACAGTATGCAGACGACAATGTGCTACTAAGTGAAGATTCAGGTAAGTTGCAAGCTTTTCTGGATAGTTTGAGTGCTAGTGTAGCCATTTTCGGTATGCGTTTCGCACCTTCAAAGTGTAAAATGCTGCTTCAGGATTGGGTTGGCCCAGTCCCCAGCCTCACCCTGACCGGGGAAGTTGTAAAGAAAGTAGATAAGTTTTGCTACCTGGGTAACTATATCTCACCTGGCGGACGCATCACAGATGAAGTGTCGGCGGGCATACAGAAAGCTCAGTTGGCATTCGCCAACTTAAGACATTTGTGGCGCCGTCGCGAACTCCGGTTTTCTGTGAAGAGTCGAGTATTTGCTGCAGCAGTTCGGTCAGTTCTGATTTACGGTGTAGAGACTTGGCCATTACGGCAACTGCATAAAAATAAACTCCCGGTGTTCGTTCACCGCTGTCTACTTGGCATTGCACGAGTCTGGTGGAAAAACCGGACGAACAATGCCGAGGTTAGGCGTAGAATTTTAGGTAATGGCAGTCGTCCACTGGAACAGGTAGTGGACCTCCGTAGATTACGCTGGTTGGAACATGTGCTACACATGTCACCACATAGGTTGCCACGGCGAGCGATGCTTGGTGAGGCAGGTAGCAGTGGAAAAAAATGAAGGGCGGTCAAAGTAAGACCTGGCATGAGGGTATGAAAACCCTAACCAGGAGACTGGCTCACATAGGCCCCGTTAGGCTCCCTGGTTGGGGACCCAAAGATCATGGTCACGGGTGATTAGAGATACTGAGCGATACGGCTGGGTGTCGCAAACAGTGGAGCTCATGCATCTATTCATTATTCTTGTAACTTAAGTGTATGAAAGTGTGCTACCTTTCGCTTAAATCTGCTCTCAACATTCTAATCATTATTATGCTATGTTATCCAAATGCGCAACAAAAACCGGCGCACCAAAGTGCATGGCTAATGGTTGTTAGAACTGAACTGACGATTGTCAAGAAGATGTCTATGATCGACCAGAGACTGCCTGAAGAGATTCGATCACCGACGATGGGATTAAAACATACGAACTCCAGACCGATGCAATAGTTACCTTACCGCTGGATAACTACCGCCTTTCATCGCATACGAGTGCGTCAGACTGGTTCCTGTATTCTCAGGAATCTCCCTTTTGCAATGACCACCTTCCGGGTAACGGGTATAAGAGAATCCATGATACCCCGTTACACCAACTAGGTTTAACTGGGCAATATTGTTCGTTCGGACGTTTATGTCTTTTCTCGTTGAGGATGTTTTCGAGCAATATTGTCAAACTGTTTAACTGTTCAGGACTATTGCACTAGTCGAGCCGCATGCTACGGATTTACGCGTGATTTCCCATTTTATTTTTTTTCACGTGTATGGTACGTGGTTTAAGGATGAATCATGATATTTACGAGAGATGCTTTTGACAGTCGTAGTGATAAACCGCATAAGTCCCCTTCCGTATAGGTATATGGATATTCAGCAACCTAGCTCCCTGTAACCATCTCACGTTGGAAGAGGTGGCTATCCAACTCGTTAACAATTTTGACGCCTAGTCTAACAAATCAATCACTGTAGCCTATCATCAATCTTCTACCTTATATTCGTGTGCTTTTATCCTGTCTGTTATTGAAACGAACACCGTCGATACCCTAGTAAGAACGTAATTTTATACCCATCTTTTCTGCAAACCTTCCCATTCACAGGCATTTATGTATTTGGAAAACTTACTGGAGTTTGCTGATGTCATGTCTGTTGCGGTACATGTGAGTGACATCGGTCCACAAGGGAACTCCAATGTACTGACCTTCTTGAGTCACAATGTTTCCAATTGTGGGCAATTCAGATCCCGAGTGGGCGCGTTCCTTTGTGAGCTTTCTTTCTGTTGCATTGCATCACAAATTCGTTTGACTTCATTGGTATTGATAGTTCCGTTTTTGTGTGGTACTGTTTCACGAAACGTCTGCGGGATCTTATTCGTGACAAAGTTTGACTGTGCTGTTCTGTTGCTTTAGTCAGTATAGTACAGTCCTTTCTTGGATTTGGTTAGCGAATAATTACGTTGTGGTAACCGACTCATTCTGAAGCACCAATTTTACGGGATGCCTCCCCCAAATCCTCCTTAAAGCACAATACATTTTTTTCATCCTGGTGGGTTCTCGCATGACAGTGATTCCCACAGTTTGTCAAGTATTAATCCTTTAGCGTCTTTCAGGTGGGAATTTTACTAACAAAAGCTTTTTTTCTCTAGATTTTTTCTATCCACTGTAAGAGTTGGGAACCATGAAAAACTTCAATAAGTTCATTTTGCGCTTTTAGAATATCATGTTTGGTTTAGCTTATCCGTTTGTTAACAAGCCCCAGGCACTGTTAATAATCTTGGGTGTGCATTTCAGTCCGATAGAGCTCGGTTATTCCCCACCAACTAAATGCACTCTGTTCCCACGTAAATCTCTGTGACGACCGATAAAGAGCGCTAGATGGTTGTTTTTTCCCATTAGGAACGAGTCAGTATTACGTACTAAAATTGGACTCGAAACACCAACCTTCGGATGGGTTGTCAAGGCTCTTATGCACGAGCTACAGGGTTGACGATTAACCTCTAGGATGAATGGTCAAAACCCTCGAGTTCTGCTACGGATCCAAAAAGAACGCACTGCTGACGAGTGTCAAACGGAACGAAACAACTGTTCGTTGCTCTTTTGGTCATCACGAAGATGTCTGTTGCAAATTGGTGCAGTTCATTCTGCTTTATTACATCATATCATGCTGTGCACTCCAAGCGTACACCTTTGGGTACTTCAATATCTGGGCAGAATGATGCGAACGGTTATCCTTTTTGCAATGTTCCATATTCGATGGACGTATTATTTGTCATCCGCGTCCCGATTAACTATTTCTTCATTGTTCTCGTTCAATCTAGTGTCGGCCATTTTCGCTTTAATTGCCAACTTGGACAGAAAATCCGAATCCTATTCAGAAGAAATTGTTCGGTTAATATTTCGTATGAATAATCTGCAATACATCTTGAAAACTATTCAAAAGTAAGCTGTGAACACACAACTATGTACGTGCATTGTTTTCGATCCTGAGATCATTTCGATTGGTCAGAATAGCTATCACTACTTTGTGCTTTCCAGACCGCCTTCACGGGCAGTTTTATTTCCAAATTTTCCCTTTTGGAATGTCGGAGGAAATTGTGTTTCCGCGATTTCATCATCAAGCCATCGGAATCACATTTATTCGGATTTACTGACTTCTGAGAGTGGACCCGGGTCGGATAAACGGACGCGCGTGTTCCTTGTGGCACACATCGTAGCGAAGTTAGGTTCATTAACACTCAGAGCAGTTACCAAACAGCTTATTTACTACCGTCGGTATGTAGATGCTTGGCGATGTCTTGGGAGTGCTCAGCTGGGCACATGCCACTATGAGTTTCTTACAGAAACCGGATTAGGAAGGTCGTTGCGCGTTCTTGGACGTTGAATTTTGTAGGCGTCCCAATGGTTTTATACAGAAGAAAGGTTTTTTTTATAAAATTCATTCATTACCATAATTTTGTCACAAATACCCAAAAGTGAAATGCGACGCGATATCTTATATATGGGACAAGACTTATTCGCGTCAGACAAATCATTGAGTGTAAAAAGAACATGGGAATCAATTTCGGCGTTGACGAACCATCCGTCTTCTCACCAAGTTATGCTACTGTGAGTCAGGTGGTCTTCAGTGCCAATACATTGCACATCAAAAATATACAAACTTACAGTCTTCGTATCATCTCAGCATCACTTGGCTCTTGAGGGTACTCTCATAATTCAGTAATCGGAATAGCTCTCTTACCGGAATTCGTAATATCGTAACGCACGAAGGCTTGCAAATTTACCAATTATTTTAGTGAGAAAAATCAAATGGAATGAATAATGTGTAAATAGAGAAAGACCATTCATTCGTTTTCCAACATGCACAAAACATTCTACACCGTACACACCCTCTCATCCTCCCAGCCTCCC